AAACAAACATGGAAATGGTGAACTGAAATATGGAGTGAAAGTTGAGTCGGAAACTGATATGTTTACAGTTATAAACACAATTTTTATTGCGCAAAGGGGGCTGGGGCCGGGTGACTAATCTTCCCCCTCATRACACCTGGATCCATCGATCCACCTCTGACCATGACGAGAAATAGAATTGGTCCCAGTTTAGTTCTTTGTGGGATTCCTATACGGAAATAAATAAATTCTAAATCATGTGACAAACATTTGATTTATGCAAATCAGGGCCTATTTCTATATCGCCAGGGGTGAGTAAAACTACGTCCATTATAGACACTCTCTCCTAGGAGTGTGGGATAGAGTGCATGCTGTATGAAGGAGAAAGTCTGAATCCACGCTAGGTACATGTRCACACCAGCTAAAGTGTTTTGAATCAATTTTGTTAAAAATAATACGCGTTTTTGTTGACATTAACTTTAATACCACTGACACTACTGAAGTTATAATTAACATAAAGTTTATAATTATTTTTAATCCCTTGGATAACCCAAGCTATGTCGGCCGGTGTTAGATTTGGACTGTTATGTTTCTTTTTTCCTTTGAATATCAATTCCCATTATCCCATTTATCTAGTAATATCTATTTCTGTCAAAGATATTCCCTCTATAAGTACACATTAAGGTGAGGGTTAAGAAGGTCACACTCAGGCTACCGACATTACACCAGAAAGGGTTCAGTTTCATTTTCTCCAAAGTCTTTTTTCATTACATTTTTACGTCAGTTTTACCTCGTTTAACCCATAACGTATCATTTAAGTTTACTCCTATTTGACTGGATCATTTTGCCTATCGCTTGCATAATATTTTCAAAGTTTATTGGTCGGTTTGTCCACTTAAAAATTTATCGGCCTCTGCCTCCACGCATGCGCGATAGCCTTCTCTGTGGTAGGCGCTGAACATAGCCGGTGTATAGAGTTGRTTGGAAGTCGGAGTGAACGGAAATCTTCCACTAATACCTTTAAGCAGACATCGYAAGAGACCCCAGTGACAGCATTCACAACARCAACCTGCCAGGCGATCAACCTCCGAGGCYTTCAGATACGGTCCTGGTCCCCAGTCCGACTCGTCAAGGTCGAGTGTCACGTGGTTATCACTGAAGTCCTTCCATTTATAGTCCTCGAACTGGACGATTCCGTCATCGGGGTGTCTCGGGGACAGAAGTAYTATCTCTCCTTGCCCGACCTTTCTTGTCTCATTGTTATCTTTYTCGTAGTAGTGGACGAGAAAGCGATAACATCTCGGTTGTTTTCCGGAAGGTGGTTCGACAAACTTYTCGCGCACGTCCTCAGCAATGTCTCGTCCGTCGATTCCCGTGAAGGAGCATCGCAGCTTATCACGTGCCTGTTGAAGTAGCGCCAGGAGATCTGTAGCATAGGTAGTTCCAGGCTCCAAGAAACCACCATTGACAACAACGATTCGAGACAGTCTTAGTTTGAGTAGAGGGAGTACGGCTAGGTTCTCTATGTGACCTCCGTCGCTCAAGTGCACGACTGCAGGGGGTCTTGGGCCAGCATTCGTGACGCCTATGACTTTGCGCATAAATCTCACATGGTAGACGTTGATTATACACCACCTAATTGAGAATGATCAGAAATACACTTACATAAGATCGGTGGGTGGGTGATCATGAATGGATGAACGAAGGGAATGAAATGAGAGACGGCATGAAGGAAAAAAGGATGGATAATTTTGCAGGAKGAGTAATGTAAATGAGTGAGTTAGTTGAAATGTACACCTATTAATTTAAAGCTTCAAGTACTGATTTTCTAACCTTATAAGTTTTTCAAAACATCCTGGGTTTTTCGAGCCGGTTGGAAGCAAGGAAATCAACGTCAAAAGGAAGAATACCGTCATGAATGCAATCACACCTACTTCCTCCCAAATTGGTCCACCACCAAAGTATTGTAGAAACGGTAGGGCAAGCAACGGAACTGCCATAAGGAACTGAATGATTAGCGGAAGAGCCTTTAAAAAAAGTTAGAAAAAACTTTTTCAAAGATTTGTCATTATTGCCTTTTTTATACACTCAATTGCATATCATTGTCGAGTTAAAAAAACAACAAACAAAAACAAACAAACAAACAAAACAAAACAAAACAAAAACATAGAACATAGAAGGTGAGACCGAAATGGTACATGGGAAGACCCTGGTTGCTTGTCGTATGTAGTGAAATGTTCATAAATCGTTGCACTGGCAAAGAGCATGGAGGCTTTTAACACGTTTCATATATCAGCTATACATGTTTCAGAAGATATAACTAGCTAAAAACTAGTGTGAGCTGCGTCGGTGTTTCTAATGAAACAGTAATGATAAAAGAGTGTAAATTTTACACCGTGAAAAGATGAAAAAACTTACYGACGTTTCGGACGCTAGTCCTTCGTCGGAGTAAAAGGACTAGCGTCTGAAACTTTAGTAAGTTGAATCCATATTCCTGATTCTTTGACAAATTAATCATATCCCATATATATGAATGGTATTTGTATTGACTATAAGATATTTGGGTGGTCAGTTGGTTGAAGCCTTCTACAATTTTTCATTGCCATACAGCGATATTTCCGCGGCTGTTTTCGGGAAGAGGGTTCGAGGAAGTTCTCGTGCACATCCTCAGCCATTTCACGTCAGTCACTKCAGTATGCCAGCACAACCAAGTATTTGTATTTTTAGTTTGTTGTGAAAATACTTTACATTATTACTTACGCGCACAAAACAGTTGACGTTCCTTAGTGATGGTTGTACCACAAGGTTCTTCCCTAGGCCCAATCCAAGGACAATTTGTAAGTCACGGAACGGTTTATTGACGTTCTCTAGATTTCCAAGGTCGTAAGATAACGCTGCTGCAGATGTTGCCATGGCTGAGGACAACTTTATTTCTGCTGGTCCAATGAACTCGGTACCTTCGAACTCTTCATCCAGTGGATCACGGTCAAGACGTTCGATTACTGTTGGGGACAGGATAAGAAGCTCGAAGTCTTTTCCCTGTTTCTTCTCCGACTTATACCAGTRATGAGCAGTGACGTTGCATTTATATTCGGGTTGGATATCGACGATGTCTTGCAGCGTCAGTGGTTTGTTGAGTTTTTCTTCTTTCGATGGGCAGCAGTAGCCGGCCCAGGGAATGATGTCCGCACAGATATCTCCAGGTGTTCTCGCGCTCTCTGGAGAGAAGAACGACTTATGAAGTCTCCACCTGATGGAAAAAAATAAAAAAATCATTATACTGGTAATCTTTTTACAAGGCAACGGATCGAAACCATTGCCACATGGGACAATATTAGTATGTAGTTAACTCATCCAGTCGAATRTAAAATGGTTTAAGATTCTCGTTTACGCCAAACGTGAAACGTCAGTTGACCATTAACAAATTCTTTAAAATTAGTGAAAAGGAATCTCAAAAATCTCCAAGCAGTAGATAAACAAAAGAATACTTGTCTTTGTCGAGAAGGTTTGCAAAAGGTAAAG